CCCGCAGGGAGACCCGAGCTCGACCTGGGAGTCCAGCGGCCCAGGTCGCGCGTCCCGCCCCGGGGCCACACCCCCCACAGCCGCCCTGCGTTCCCAGTTCCGCTGGATTCCGGCGCCGGAAGTCCGCGCGGAGCTCGCCGGGAAACGGCACGGCGCACGCGCTGCTCTAAGTACTCGGAACTACATCCCCCAGAAGGCCGTTGTTCAGTGAGCCCGTTCGCCTTGACCGATGGCCAATGAACGGAGAGAGTTACCTTCGCGTCAACACCCACGCCCGCGGGTTGTGGTCTGCGTTTGACTCGGGCGGTCCTTTCGCTCATCGTTCAGGTTTCTCAGCTCTTCGGACTCTGAGAAGCTTGGGGCTTTCTGGGAAATGCAGTGAGGGGCGCGGAGCCCCCTGCGGCTGTTCTCTGTCTGGGAGCGTCGGCCGGAGTTGCCCGACAGGACTCGGCAGGCGGGGACTCCTCTGACCTCAGGGAGCCCCGCGCTCTCCCACCGGCACCTTCGCCTCCGGGGCGGCGGGGATCCCGGGCCCAGGGAGAAGCTAGAGCAGGCGGGCCGTATCCGGGAACGTTGGGGTTCTCCTGTCCACAGATTTGGACCTGCTCCCACCCTCGCTACTTACTCCTCGACCTGGAGCTCTGAGGCCTCAGATCTTTTTCTGAAATAGAAAAGGTTTTCTTGTTTTGATTATGTAAGCATTGCATGCGTAGCGTGGAAAAGAAAATATGGAAAATTATAAAGGTATCGAGATCCACAAGGTAAGCTCCCTCACTTTGCTCAATGTCATTCCCTCACAATGGCTTTCTCTAACTGTGTAAACACACCCACCCACCCACACACTTACATCGCCCTGGCTCTGCCCAGGCTTATGTTTCTTCCTTTTATTCAGTGCCTGACATATTTGTGTAATTTCCGTCTCTTGACTACAAGCTCCAATGAGGTCACACTATTGCCTTACTCCCAGCATCGAGAAGTTTCTGGTGCAATTTTTGTTGAATAACTAAAGGTTTAAAATATTCCTAGTAGAGCCATTCAGAAATAAATACTATTAATATTTTAGTCTGTTCTTACAGTTCTACGAATCTATGAATGTTTCTAATGTAAATCTGGAATCATTTGCTCAGGCCAGGTGGTTCAGTTGGTTGGAGCGTGAGCCTGTGCACCAAAAAGTTTGTGGGTTGGTTTCCGGTCAGGGCACATACCAAGGTTTCGGGTTTGAGCCCCAGTCCAGGCACATATGGGAGGAAACTAATGGATGTTTCTCTCACATCAATGTTCTTGATCTCTTTCTAAACGAACAAACTAAAAACATCCTCAGGTGAGGATAAATCTGGAATCATTTTATCGTTTAATAAAATGATAAGTAATTTCGTTTAAGTAATCTTTTGTCGTTTTTTGTTTTTTCCTTTTTATTGAATCTATGGGGGCACCCAGGTTAACAAAATTATACAGGTTTCAGGTGCACAGCTCCATAACACAGCATCTGTACACTGTATTGTGTGTTCCCCATCCCAACATCCTCAGGTGAGGATAAATCTGGAATCATTTTATCGTTTAATAAAATGATAAGTAATTTCGTTTAAGTAATCTTTTGTCGTTTTTTGTTTTTTCCTTTTTATTGAATCTATGGGGGCACCCAGGTTAACAAAATTATACAGGTTTCAGGTGCACAGCTCCATAACACAGCATCTGTACACTGTATTGTGTGTTCCCCATCCCAAGTCAAGTCTCCTTCCATCACCATCCCCCCCCCCCAATACCCTTCTCCACCTCTCCCTCCCCGAAAGTAATGTTTTGTTGACTGAAAAGTCTATCTGGGATATTTTCCCATATCAGCATTTATAAATAAAAGAATGCATCTGTTTTTCAAGCTGCATATTATTCCTAGCATGAAAGTTGCATATTTTATTTAAAGCCCCTTACTATTGGGCATTTAGTTTCCATTTTTTTCTGTATTTCTACATACACTTTGCTGCATTCCCTTGGGGAACTTGCTGGAGGACATGAGCCAAGACTGTTCTATCAAACAGCTGAGGTGGATGTTACTGGGTTCCCCTCCCTCTACTGGCCTCAGTGGAAAAGGACAAGGGGAAGAAGAAACTTAAAGTCCCCTTTTCCAAGAATGGCCTTATAGTGTTCTACCAACGCCCTCTATTGGCAAAAACTAACATCATTATTGACAAACAAAGGAGAAATGTCTGCAGGATCCAGAAGGCTTCAGTATCACAAAGGACAAAATGAGTGTATTGGGGGCTGACAGACAAATTAATAACTAGCACACCTACGATATATTCTATTGAGCATTGCTGGTAGATGATAAATTATTTTCGTACAGATATACAAAATTGACAACCTAGTTGAACTTTATTTTCCTTCTGACAGTATTTTAGTTTATTTTTCTAGCTAGAAAATATAATCTATAATGAAAAAAGTAAAAATTTCTTTCCAAAAAAAATATATTCATTTCCAGAACTTATATGCATTATTTTCTTGGCATTATAGCATTGTCCAGAACTCCCTAAACACTGTTAGGGCAGCAGACATCATTCTCTTGGCTAATTAAAGTACTTTTAATGATTTACAATTGTCTATTGTTTGTCTCATCGCCATGCTCATATTAAGCAACATCTATTCTCATTTGTAGCAGAAAGACTACTAGTTGTTCACTAATATCAGTTTTCCCCTTCTATAGTAAGAATTTTTAGATGGGCACATGGCCATTTAGAATAAAGAGTGTATTTTCCAAGCCTCTCCTGTAGCTGAGTATGGCCATGTAATTAAAGTGAAACCAATGAGATGTGAGCAGATGTGATGTATGCATCTTCCTGGAAAGGGATAGGTCATGTCCCTAGTCTCTTTTCCCCAACTGCTAGCAGGAATTTGGACATAGTGGCATGGACCATGCAAATTAGAGTAACATCCAGAGGTGTCAAAGCAATAAGATGGAAGGTGCCTGGATTCCTCCTGACTGTGGAGCCACCAAACTAGCCCTGGACTTATACTCAGGAAGATAATGTGAGAGGGAAAGAAACACCATGTTTAAGCCTCTGTTATTTGGAGTTGAACTGAATCCTGACTACCTCATAGGGTCATTATAAGGATTACATAAATGAGAGAATCCAAGTAGACCAGTATTAACTCTTAACACACAGTAAGTGCTCAACAAAGCGTGGTTAGTCTCAGGGCATTATCACCACCGGGAACTTGTCAGGGGCATAGAGTACCTGGAAGCTGCAGGAGTTAGGACCCCTGGGCATCTTTTCCACTTTCCCCTGAAGATTTCAGCTCAACTTGCTCTGGTCAGTGGCCTGTTCCATTGTCTTACTCTTCATGCTGGCCTTGAGCTTTATTCGTTGAGAACAGAAAAACGAGTGCTCCGGGAGGTGAGTCGCAGGCCACCGAGTGCTGCATTTGGAGCCCAGACAGGAGGCGGCCTGACCCTGTCACAG